TCTTCAACCAAGTCGAAAACCAACCCTTTAAATACATTTTCGAGTAGTACGATTTAATTTATTAGACTATTTCAAAGGTTTTGTCGCATGGTTGCTTCCAGCTTCTTAAATTCGAACCATTTGTTAATGAAACAATTGTTCGTGAAGTGATTGAATCAAACCCACATTAAATGGTTGATTTTTAAATTCACGATTTTAATTGGTCAATCAATCAACAATTGAGTGGTCTCCTGTAATAACGTTGTAACGACAATTATTTATGTCGCCGAATGTAGAAGGTTGAGTTCCGTGCGCTGAAATAGCCTGAGAGGAATTTCTCTACGAAAAAATAACAAAAAAAGTTTGGACGACTGTCCTATTTATACGTTTCGAATTTAATAGAATAGACATTGTCTTGGCCCGAGTGATGTCATTTTTTTGCTCTTTGCGACAAAGAAGACGCAAAACCCAACTTAATTGAATTTTTATTCTCGCGTAGCACGTTATGCGTGTTTTGTAACGAAAAGCAAAAGCTCACATTGCGTTTTCAGTTGTAACCTTGTTTATTTGTTAAAATATAACGCACAAATTAGGCGCGTCGAATAGAGTGTTAATTAAATAGCAACGATTAATTAACCAGTTACATGTTTGTTCTTAATTGGTGGAAATTAAACGGTGTTGGAGAACATTAATTTCTATTAATTATGTTTCCTAAATCTATTTTTAAGAACCCCGGGGAAACGTATGGTTCTTCTATTTTTATTATGTATTTTTATTATTTATTTAATAATTGTAATTTTATATAAATAAGACGGGGAAAAGATTAATAAAATTAATGAAAGAATAAACGAACAAAAGTTAAGTTATTTTCTGGCAAATATAATGGAATATAATTCCGAGTGAGAAATAATAGTGAGAAGTGAATTAAACTTCTGAAAACACGTTTGAACGATTAAAGTAAGAAAACTCTTACACCATTAAACCCTGATGAAATAATATGACAAGAAAAAGATGGTCATTGTGAAACTTTATTAATGGTAATCTTTAATATTAATATGAATGATATGATTATATTAGATACATAACAATATGTGTATGGATGTTAATTAATCAATCAAATTGTTAAAATGATTTTAAAAGGTAATGGAGCAAGACCCTCTATATCTGTCTCTAGTTTGAATATTTTTATATATAATTATTTTATTATTGTTAGATGGGTGAATTGAAAAGAAATAACATGTGATTTCCTGTGAAGGGAACAAATTTTATTTTTTTATTTATTTATTTAGTAATATACAAATCATGTTAAATAAAATTATTATATATATTAGATATTGAAGATTTTTTTATTCTTATATATAACGATATTGTAGATGTAAATAACAATGTCAAAAGAGGAAAAGAGATGACAATAAATGAAAGATGTTGGATTTTGTATATAGTTATGTAACTTTTAACTCTGTGCTTAATAAGTCAAACTTATTAAGTACTTAATAATAAGTTTGTAAAATTTTTCAAAACTTAATTAAAACCTTTTTACACTTTGAATAATTGCAATGAGAGACATACCGCCTAGTTGCAGGAGAGATTTGACCTAATTGTTGCTAATCCTCCTATACCATTACCTGTGAGATGTACTGTGGGCTGATACATTCTTTATCTCATGAACACAGGGCAGTACAAAATCGTCAATAGTCCCCTTGAAGTGATTTTGATTTCTAGTATACAAAAATCTTGAGAAATCAAGCATAATAAATTAATACGACAAAAAATAGTAATTAATCCAAAAGATCAGATAAAAGCATGACGAGAGCTATATCACCTAAGTTGCGGGACGTACCCATCACCCGCAAGACGTACTATTGGGCTATGTGGAAACAAGAAGGCAAGTTTGTGCATCATGCTAGGCAGTGCAAAGACCTGATTGAATAGAAAAGAAACATTTACTTATCTATTGTGGCTATTAAAACCAGCCTCCCAAGCAAGACAAAAGCCATATAGCCTAGTTGCAGGACATCTTGCCTATAACCTGCAAGACATACTATTGGATAGATGGAGCATCAGAAAAAAAATTTTTTTTTCTGCTGACCAAACATTTTATGTTGATCGTGCCATTCTGGGAATGGGATCATGACCAAAACTGTGTGACCTGTCACCTTATCAGAAAATTTTTATTATCTTTAAAAAAAAAGATCTATTAAAATAAACTAAATAAAATGGACTCCAATATGAACTGGGTTCCCCAAGATCTTCTTTTCAATAAGGTTGACAATTTTTTCTTTGTAAATATGTAGTATGACTGGCGCCTTATTGAGTTTCTTGAATTTAAGAAAGGTGACATTTTGGCTGGTCTTTCAAAGACTTCTGCACATAATGCATATAAAAGAAGTTTGCAACTGATCTTGGAGTCAGAACCACTGGAAAACATCTCCATTGCTATTATGAAACAGTTGACACAAAAGATACAGGAAAGTGATGAAGTTAATATCTACAGAAAAGAAGTATACAGAACAGTTAGATACTATCAGAGCTAATTCTTCATTTGAAAGTGTAAGTGCTATGTGCTTGTGTGTTTTTTTTTTAGATTTACAGTACATTAAATTTAGAAACATTTCTTTTCAGGATGTTCTCAAAATTTGTGGGGAAAGATGCTATGAAGAAATTGATGGTGTAATCCAACTAGAGATAAAGAGAAGGGAACTTGAAGCAAGCATAAGTGATAATGAACATCCAAGCTAAAGACTAGTGCTGTAAATTATGATGATGGTAGTAATTGTATTTATGGCACATAAAAAGTGGTTGCAATTACCTTTGCGACCACTTTTGCAACCATCCTTTTTCCTTTTTTGGATTACGGCACTAGTCTTTAATCCAAGCACATCCACTCCTATAGGGACAACAATGAATAATGGATGTGAAGCTCAAAGTAATAATATAGAAAAAAATGAATACTTATAAGGACAAGGAAGAAATGGAGCAAATAAAATTTTGGACAGGAAACAATAAAGAATCTAATAATCAAACAAAAAGTCAAAAGTCAGGATTACTCCTGTCCCTTCATAAACCAATTCTTCTACAGCATAAGTTTAATCTGTTATCATCAAAAGTTATTCCCAGGTTTAAATCCCTTAAAAGTAGGATTCCCTGAGATAGCAAAAGAAATAGAAATTCATGCGCAAGAACAGACAAAGTTAACTAGTTTGGGACCAACTCTTACAAAGTGGTTATGAGAAGCTTTATTATCATCCACTCCAGAGAAGCCACATGAATATCTTATACAACCATTGCAAGGTGAACATATTACAGACCGAGATAAAGACTAGTGCCATAAATTATGATGATGGTAGTAATTGTATTTACAGCATACAAAAAGTGGTTGCAATTACCTTTGCAACCATACTTTTTCCTTTTTTTGGATTATGGCACTAGTCTTTAGACTGAGAAAAGAAATTGCATGATATATTTGAAACAACATTGAAGGAATTCTATACAATGATCAAATATGATCCAAAACACTCTCTCCAGAGACACAATTCTGAGAGAAAATTCCTTGTTGAAAGGGTGGCAACACCATTCAAACTTGTTGAATATGTTTTTAGAAATGTTACAACACATTGGATAGAAAAAGCAATCATGTCAACAAAGGCAATGGAATTTATAGATGATCCAACTGGTGAACTGACATCCAAGAAGGCTGATGTGCTGGCTACAGATCTTACATATAATTTAGACGTAATGAACATGGAAGCATCAGGAGGTCCCCTTCAACAGGATCAGAAACATACTCTTAATGATTCAGGCAAAATATCTAACACTGTTGTGAATATTCTCCTTATGAGTCTCTGAAAGTACCTTGGTGCTAGTATTGAGACTATGAAGAAACTAAAAACATATAGTATACAAATTATTGGTATGGAAGTTGTTTTCTTATAATATATATTGACATTAATATGATAACAATTTTTGTTGTCCTTGTAGAAGACCAAATCACGCTAATAGAAGTATCACTTTACAAACCATGAATCTGCAAGGAAGTTGAGGTCCAAAGTGCTGTCTTTCCATTTGCATTGTCTTCCATAGGAGAATATATGTAGGTTTTTGAGCTTATATCATACTATGTGGTATGTTTATTTTGTTTATATGATTCTAATCCTATTAAGATTAATTAATTTTTATGCGCATCTAGGATGGACTTCTCAAATGTCAAGAGGCCATGCAAGAGCTATCTAATGAAACTAATGGAGTAAAGGAGGTACACAGTGTATCTTGATTTAGCAGATCTTGATTTAACAGATTTAGGGGTTTAACAGATAAATTTTCAAAACCAAATCTTTCTATAATTATTTTATCTTGATTTAATGGATTTAACAGATTTTTCATATATATTCAATTTAGCAGTTTATTTTTTTTAAATCTATATGTTCAAGCATAATAAAAATATCTCAATACAATGGATAATGTCGATCATTAACTAATATAGGCACCAAACATAATTAAATATTAATGATGATGAAAAAAATCTTCTGATACAAAAAATTTTTGATAGATTTGTAATAAACTAGAGGATTATTTTATGAATGAGTAAATTTACTACTTATTATTGTTACATTTTATTATCATATGTATATTTTATTTGTCATATGTATTAGTATTAATATTATTGTACAATGTATCACATGATCATTTCATAAATATCTTGGTTTTGCAGATATCTCAATTTAGCAGATAATTTTTTTGGAACGAACATATCTGCTAAATCAAGATACACTGTGTAGTTTCAGAAAAATTTGTGGATTCATGGAATAAGGAGGCATAATAATCTGCTATGTACCAACATCTGAACTCCTGTATTGGTGAGCTTTTCAGATTATTTTACAAAAAATGCATTCTATACCAAAATGTAATGATACTGCGAGTGTGCAATCCAAGTTTCCTAATTAATAGGTTATTTATAGCTCAACACACAGCCTACCAACTGACTTACAGTCAAGTTTCCTTTATTTATAAATATGACACACAGCCTACCTGCTGACTTACAGTCAAAGATTAATAAAAATAACTTTTATCCTCCTGGATAAAAGGGTCCCTAGGTTCTATGTAAATGATTATATCTCAAAGGCATCCCCTTGAGATGTGTCTGAATAATTAAAAGGGTTCCCAACTAATAATTAAAGGTTGGCCAGACCATTTTACAGTCAAAGACTATTTTATGTAAGGTTATATATTTATTAAGAGTTATTATTATTATGTTGTTATCAAGTTTGTTATTAACAATATTAACAATTGATTTATTAATGATTTATTAACTTGGTCTAAAGCCAAATGTATTTATACCTCTTGGGGCAGTACAAATAATGTGATATGTGCTACTCTACTCTCTAATAATATGCTTATCAACTAACTACTAATTCTAAATAAATATTTACATCAGATGAGTAGGTTAATAAATATAAATATAGAAATATGAATAGGAATAGTCTTTCATATGACACTGCGCAATGTGCGGCGTAGCCGTTACAATAATATAATAATAATATTTAGCGCATCACATGACCTCCGTAGTAAATTCGTTCTAATTGGTCAATATTAACCAGGTAATTGATAGGTCCAAGATTTACTATCTCACAATACTTTAATGATATCTACTTAAATAATCTAGTTCAAATTGCACGTTTGACATTAAGTGATTTATATATGATACAAGTTTATTTAAAATTATTGATTGTATACATAGTTAAAAAAGCAAAACCCAACATTGACAAATTTTACTTATAGATCAACAAATCTAATTAATTATTATGTAAATCAATATGAGCGGATTTTTTAAAGTGTTACCTGAAAATTTATTTTATGATTTTTTCACAACTGGTATTTATTACCCGCAAAAATCTCTCTATACAGTCAAACTAGATATATTATACTACAACATACACGAAATGAAAACTATATGGCTTTTTTCACGGACTAGTAGGATTATGAAATATGTGTTTTTATTATACTCGTTACACTATTGGCAATTTTTGATCGTGATTTTTTCATCAATGGTATTTGTTACCCCAAAAATCTCTCAGTACCAATAAACTAGGTGTATTATACTATTTCATATTCAAAAGTTGAGAATAATATATCTCTTTTTCACAGACTAGTAGCATTTTGAAAATACTATTTTCTTTGCGTTGTTGATCATTAAAAAAAATATAACATTGATCAACACTATACGAGAAGTCGGCCAAAATTTTCACCTCATTTTCTTAATATTAATATTTAAGTAATTCAATTCGATAAGTCTGTTTACTCGATAAGTCAGTCATATGATCTCACCCCACATGACCGACTTATCGAGTTTACATATGTATGACATTAATTTTGATTTAATTAGACTAATTTTTGATTGTAAATTTTTTCTCAAAACTGTCGCCGTGGTGCAGAAAGTTGTAGGGACTAGGTGTATTCCACTATAAAATAAATCAGCAGTAATGCATCCTTAAAAATTAAAAAATGGTCATCTTCTTATTAATGGCAGCAAAGACTCTCTCTACCTTTCGATTACTTTATTATTGTTCTTTTCCAATTTTTAATTTTTAATACATCATCATATTTATCGATCGGAGTTTGTTTATTTTGTTTAAAATAGCATTAGTAATAAACTATTATATACAAACTTCATTATTAAGTTTCTTTTTTCCTTTTCTTAAAACAAACCTTTCAGTATAAATAAATATACGCGTTATAATTTAATACACGCACAAAAAAAATAAAATATATCAACTTTTACAAAAATGCCAAGACAACCTAAAAATTCAGCTGCTGCCACTAACAATCCCAGCAATGCTAATACTAATAAATCATCATCATCTGGCAAGGCGACAACAACAGCAGGCGCCAAACAGAAATCCGATCCTGGTAAAACCTCCACTACAAAGACCAAGAAAAGCTCCTCTGAACCTAAAAGAGCACTTAGCGCATATATGTTTTTTGTTCGTGGAAATAGAGAAAAGGTTAAAGCCGAAAACCCTGAAGCAAAATTTGGTATTCGTCTTATTATATTGTTCTTGGAAATGTGTTTATATTATTACTTATATGTGAGGATTATTTATCCATTGTTCATCAGGTGAAATCACGAAACTTCTTGGAGAAAAATGGAAGGCTTTGAATGATGAAGAAAAGGCTGTGAATATTCGTTTGTTATCTTTCGATAATCTTCTCGTAAACAAATTAATTGCTAATTTGTTATTATTATTATTATATTAAATTTAGCCTTATAACGAAATGGCCACAAATGATAAAAAACGTTACGCAGGTTTGTTTAATTTTTGAATTTTGAATATATATTTAGAAAATTTACATTAAAATTAAAAATTTATTGATTAAAGACGAAAAGACAACGGCAAATAATGTGAAATAAAAATCCAGATCGAAGAGTTATCGGAAAATAATGGAAAAGAGTAATAAATTACTTTTTTTATGGCATAAATTTCTTTTTTAATTTTTTAAATGTTTCATAAATTATTTGCACTATTTATATATTAATATATAATTAAAATATGCAAGATTACACACAATAAATGAAATCTTTAATTTATTTTTTCACTTAAAACAACAAAGAAAATAAAAAACTTTTATACATTAAATATATAAATAAAACATGTATATATACAGAACATATATATATATATTAATAACAAGTCTAATGATAAAATAAAAATAAAAATTAAAAAACAATCATCCAAATCAAGCTTTTTTGGAATCCTTTAATGTTGGGCATAATTTTCTATGTCCATTTTTCCAATCCTTCTTTTGACATTCTTTAGAACAATAATTCACACTAAAACAACTTGAACAAGCAAGTAATGCCGTATTCTTTTCTTCGGCATTCAAATCTTTACGAGTTTGACTTCCACAGCAATTGCATTTTTTCTCTTTGTTAGGAGGTTGTTGATTAGCATTTGAAGATAAAACAAGTAATCGTTGTAAGATGTGTGCTAATTTATCTGCTTCTTTTTTAGAATCCTTTTCAACTACTTTTGAACCCTCTTCCTCTTTATCAATATTATTGTTACTGTTGGTGGTAATGCCATCAATAAGATTATTATGATGAGCATTATGATTATAATTACTTTTCTGTTCAAAGTATGTTACTACAGTCCGTTTGACCTCCGAGATATCAGGAGGGTGTCCATACAAATACTCGTAACGTTCTTCTGCTATTTTGGCCTTTTGATAATAATTTAATGCTTGCTGATTACGTAAACTATGTGACGCTTGTTTACGACTACTAGCTGTTGTTGTAGAACTGTTGTTCTGAATAGTGAGAGCAGCCAACGCGTATAAAGCATGCGAATAAGAAATCGAGTCTTTATTCGCCTTTTCAATATAAATCTTGAAATTACGTGCTGCTTCCATTCTATCACCTTGAGACATATGTATGGAACCTTGAATACTGTATGCATCCACAAAATCGGGTTTAATTGAAACCAATCGTTCGAGATCTTTAATACAAGATTTGTGATCATTAAGATTAAAATGACATATTGCACGTAGATGATAAAGTCTTGGGTGAAGTTGTGACTCAAGTTGATTCAGTGCTATATTAAGAGTTTGAATACAAAACGAAAATTGTCTTCCATTGTAAAGGAGCCAAATAACTAGTATAAGTGACCTTTTGAAAAGTGTATATATATATATATATATATATGTTTGTGTGTGTAATTTTTTTCCAAAAAAAAATTTTTTTAAATTATAATTTAATACATATAAAATTTACTAATAAATAATTTTATTATTAAAATACATCATCAATAAATGAAGACTTACTCTTTTGTGAATTCTGGTTCATGTGCTGTCGACGTCTCATCGTTTTCTTTTTTCTCGTTTTCATCTCCCCACTGAAGTTTTGATAATTTTTCATATTGTTGTGCCAAAGTCATGATTCTAGATGACATATCAGTAGCCTTTTCATCTATTAAAAATGCTTCTACAAGATATTTGGTAGATTCCAATATTTTTTGTTCATATTCTTTCAGTGTTTTTTCCTCAGAATCAGTTGGAATTTCTTCCGCAATTTTACTCCCTTTTAAAAACAATTCTTTTGCTTTGAAATACTTTTTCAATGAATAAATCAAATATTATATACATGTTGTCATAAATTAAAATTTTATTAACCATATTGCAAATTAAATTGTTTTTGATAAATACAATACCTCCTCAACTTCTGGATCATTGGTTTCTTTTCTTTTATCTCGAGCTTCAAGTAAATCATAATCTTGAGGCTTGACAGGCTGTTGATCAGGCTGTTGATCTGAAGCATGAGTCGTAAAGGGTAAATTTGTCTGATGTTCATAGTCATGGTCGTGGCCATGATCGTGGCCGTGGTCATGAGAATGGTCGTGAGAGTGGTCGTGAGAGTGGTCGTGAGAGTGGTCGTGAGAGTGGTCGTGAGAATGGTCGTGAGGGTGGTCGTGAGAATGGTCATGAGGGTGGTCGTGAGAATGGTCATGAGGGTGTTTTTCAATCTCATGATGAGGGTAAGAAAGAGCTTTGTCATCTTTTTTTTGTAATTGTTGTTCTACCTCAAGGTGCTGAGACTCATTTTCAATATTTTCAATGGTGGTGATAGCCGGTTCAACCTTATCAATATTTTCAGATGTAATGGCTGATTCAGCTTTATCAATATTTTCAGATGTAATGGCTGATTCAGCTTTATCAATATTTTCAACGGTGGTCATAGCTGGTCCAGCTCTATCATCGGCCATGTTAAAACCAAAAAATAATATTTATAAAAAAAACTAAAACTATTTTATATATTATAATTTTTTTAAGTTTCGGAGTTTAATGCTAGTTTTTTCATTTAAACATTGATACATTGAGATGACGAATTGAATGTATTTATCCGTGTAACAACATCTTTTAGTGACGTCCCATAAACATGGAATGCCCAAATGAGACGTCATTATTCTGAAGTACATTTTGATACTATGATGGTAGTAATGAAGTAAGCAAGTAAGAAAATAGTAAATGGGAAATTGTTAGCATGTATAGTACAGTATTTGATTTTGATTTTAAATTGAAGTTCTATCCCTAAAATTTCTAGAATTGCTGTTTTATTTCAAGTTAAAATAACACAGTGTTAACTTTAACAGAAGCTATTTTGTATAAAGCGATGGATGGTGTATTTATTGAACGCGTGTTATTGGATTAAATGATTAAATGGTATTTTAAAATATATATAATCTATGTATATATATATATATCTGGAGGGAAAGCGTTTTTTTATCAGCTTCTCAAAATATTGGTTTTTCACGTATTTATATAAAATACCACTGATAAAAAATGTAATTATAGCTTTTTCGTAAAAGCTGATTGAAATTTTCTATAATATCCTTTGTCTGAATAATCAATTGTTCGTTTAGTAAATCTTTTTGGTCGAAATCTACGATAATTTTCATAGTCATCGTTTCTTTTTCTTTTTAAATTCGTTTTATTACCATAATCATCATCATCATTATCATCATCTTCTTCTTCTTCATTATTTTCATCAACATATTCACTATCACCATCACTGCCACCATCACCTTCATTTTTATCTTCATTGTTATCTTCTTCAATGTATTCACCATCTTTTTCGTTTTCGCTATTATTATCTTCATTAACATCTTCATCGCCGTAATCATCATCGCGATTAATATGAAAACGATCAACATCAACAGTAACATTGCGATGAATTATTTTATTTCGAAGAATATTATTATTATTATCGCCATTATTATTATTAGTTTTATCATTCGTTATCTTGTTATTGAAAGCAGATTCATATTTTCTATAATAATTTTCTTCAGAATAGTCAATCCTTTTTCTAGCTAATCTTTTAGGGATTCTTTTAGTTTCATTATTATAACTACTACTAGTTGACACATTTGAATCTTCATCATCTCCAACTTCACTTTCAACTTCACTTTCACCCTCACCTTCGCCTTCACCCTCACCTTCACCTTCACCCTCACCTTCACCCTCACCCTCACCTTCATCTTCATCTTCATCTTCAACTTCCTCCTCCTCCTCCTCCTCCTCCTCCTCCTCACCATCATTATCCTCCTCTTCCTCTTCTATATATTCGCTGTTTTTCTCCAAATTATTCTATTTTTTTTTAAAAAAAAATCAATTCTAATATTCTAATATCTTAAAAATTAAAGAAATATCCAACCTCTTCTCCAGCTTGTTCCATCTCAATAAAAATTTCAAAATCTTTGACTTTTATTTGGTACCTTCAAAAGTATACACTCTTCAGTTTGTAACATGTTGATCATCGATTCTCGAAATTTGCCGAGTTTTTCTGAAGTTTTACCGATTATTTTTACGAATAAAATGATGATAAAATAAAATATTTTAATTTTTATTTAATAACTTGATTTTAAAAAAATGAAACTAATAGGAAAACATATTGAAAAAGATCGTTCGGTATATATATATATGTTTGAATTTATCTATTTATTATTTAGTTAAATCCCATTTGAATTTTAAAATTCTATTTTTTCCTAGGGTTGTGTTACACTTTGTCCTGAGGAAATGGAAGATATGTGGCATGTTTATAATTTAATTACAGTTGGTGATAAACTTAAAGCAACAACATTACGGTAATAGAGTTGACATTATGTGTGTGCGTGTGTGCGTGTGTATGGAATATTCCTATTTATGTCTAATTTATTTGATTAAATAAAATTGTTTAGCCGAGTTCAAAGAGAAAATTCCACTGGTACAGTTGATTCTCAACGTATAAGATTAACTTTGGGAATATCAGTAAACAACATTGATTTTGATCCACAAGGAGGAATTTTAAGAATCAGAGGTCGAGTAATATTAGAAAATAAACATGTTAAAGTGAGTGTGATTCATATTATTGATACTTTAAATATATATTTATATGTTTTACGTATGTAAATTATATATATATATATATATATTTCAGATGGGATCATATCATACGATCGATCTTGAATTGAATCGAAATTTTACTTTAGCAAAACCTGAATGGGATGTAATTTCATTGGAACGTATCCATGAAGCATGCGATATTACGAAGCAAGCTGATATTGCTGCAATAGTTTTGCAAGAAGGTTGGTCATTTAAATAATTGGTTGTTAATTAAATTTTTAGAGTATTATAAAAAATAAAATATATATACTTTTATTTTGCAGGATTGGCAAATATATGTTTGGTAACTCAAAATATGACTATTGTAAGGCAACGCATTGAACAATCAATTCCACGTAAAAGAAATGGCCACATAAAAAATTATGAAAAAGTAAGCAACGACTTGAATTCGATGATCACAAATATTAATATAATTCCTCCTTGATTAAAAACATAATATATATATATATTATATCCTATTTAGGGCTTAACAAAATTTTTTGAGCAAGTTATGCAAGGCATCGAAAGACATATAAATTTTGATGTGGTAAAAGTTGTTATAATAGCTAGTCCGGGATTTGTCAAGGTATGAAATGGGTGAGTATATCACTGATATTTTATAAATTTATTGTAGAATGAATATCAATTTTTATATTTTTTAATTTATATAAAAATGTTTAGGATCAACTTTATGAATATGTTTTTGCTGAGGCTGTGGTATGATTTATTTTTTAGAAATATATATTATTGTTTAAAACTATTTACCATTAAACAATCTAAAATAAAATGTTTTAACTAGAAACAAGATAAAAGACAATTAATTGAAAATCGATCAAAATTTATACTTGTACATTGTTCATCAGGTCATAAACATGCGCTTCAAGAAGTATTACAAGATTCAGCAATCCAAGGTCAACTTGCTAACACAAAGTATGCTCAAGAAGTAACAGCTCTTGACAAGTTTTATAAAATGCTTAATGAAGATCCTGATAGAGCTTTCTATGGATGGAAACATGTTAAAAAAGCAGAAGAAAGAGGCGCAATTGGAACTTTATTACTTTCTGATGAACTATTTAGGTGAGTATATATATTTATATTCATTCAAGTTTAGATTATTTTTACCATTCATTACTAAATATTTATAAAAAAAATTCTTTTTATCAGAGCTGCTAATATTCAAACTCGGAGAAAGTATATTAGTCTTGTTGGATCAGTCCGTTCAACAGGTGGTAAAGTACTTATATTTTCTAGTTTACATCTATCAGGAGAACGTAAGTCATTCACTAAATGAAATCAAATAAAGTATAAAATTTTAATGTATATATATACATATATATATATATATATATATATATATATATATTATTGACTTATTATATTAATTATTACAATGAAATTATAGAACTTAATCAATTAACGGGTGTTGCGGCAATTTTAAATTTTCCTTTACCAGACATTGAATCAGAGGATGAGGAGGAGGAGGAAGCACAAGATGAAGTGGAAGAAGAGGAAGTAAATAATGATATAAGTACCAATGAGAACAATGCTAGTATTAATGAAGAAGTTTTTTATTGAAGTGATATAAAAAGTTATAATTGTATTTTTGTAATTTTGGTTTATTTTTTAAAATTAAAAATAATTTATTTTCAGCAATAGCAATAGTAATAGGTAGATCCAGTCAAGTTTTAACGGCGAAATTTCAAAATTTTCGACCATCCCAAATATGATTTTTTTTACCGAAGGAGAAAATTCATGTCAAAATTTCTCCAAAAAAAAAATGCAAACTGATAATTATAGTTTATTAGTTAATACCAATCAAAAGATAACAAAAACAAAAAACAAAAAAAATAGATATAACGAATGTTCTTCCCTATATCTAAAAAATCTTCTTATTATTGGAATTGATTTTTTGTATAATAACTTATAATTGGTCCTTTAATCGGAAGAATTAGAAAAAGAGAATAAAAAACAAAGACATATAGAATCATCCTCTATATGAAAATGTAATTAGTAAAGAAAAATGTTAATCATATATGTTACACGACACCCAATATACAAACTGGCCCGTCATCTCACTTTAAATTCAATTGGTAGCCACCAAAACCACGATACAAACCTAAATTTATAATTATGTACTATCAAAGTAATTCAGTAAACAGTGAAAGAAATTTTTTTTGCATTTGGTAAAACACATACTCACTTTAAAAATAACAAATTTAAACCAAATCATTTAACGACCATTAGAAAAAATAAGAAATCATACTAATATAAAACTCAGGTTCTACTTAATATTTTAACATTCAAGCTAGTAATTCGAATAAATCATTTTTATTTATTTAATTAAATTATTTTTTTGTATATAGAAGGTACATTTATAAACGTTAATCATATAACTCTTACACTTTGGATGACTATTCTCTAGTTCTAAATATAATGTAAACGATTACTGGATCAAAAGAAGCTATGAGTAATGATTGTAGAGTTGGTTGGATTGGTATGTGGTGTGTTATTTATTAGTATATGATGAACGCGTAAACAAATAGTATTTAAGATTTAATATTCATTCATTAGACAAGAATTGTGCAATAGTTTAATATATATATATATATATATTCAGTGGGTGTTAAAGGATATGCTTTTTTTCCGATAATTAAGATTACCGGGTTGTAACGGGTTAACGTTTACTATTACTATTAGTATTATGAGGTTGTTAACGGACTACAGTTAGCTTATTGTTATTATTATTATTATATTATTATTATTATTATTATAGTAATAATAGTAATATGATTTGGTATTAGTCCGTTAACAATAATATTAATGATATTATTTTTTTTTTAATGGTGGAGTAAGTGACCGACCGTCTAAAAATCTAATATATTAATAATATTTTCCTAAAATAAAATTAACATCCTTTATTTATCACAATCTTTCAATCCTTTTAAGGAAAAACAATTATGTGTTATTGATGTTCATCAATTATTATTTAAAAAAATCTTTGTTCGTTGAGAAACATTGCTGGTTTGTCTTCAAATGAACAACCAATCGCCATTAAAAAAACAGTCAAAAGCGTAGTAGAACGTGGATTTATTTCAAAAGTAGTGAAAACGATCAAAAAGAACTGGTAAAATTTGATCATTCTTTAAATTATGTTATTATTTTATTATTTTAAATTCTAACAAATGTTTTTAATATGTTAATTCGTGATCCTTTTAAGAAGGAAAGGTTTTTGTTAATGATCGGCGGGTACATTGATATGGAGTATTTGTCTCAACTATAGGTGTACTTTATTACATATTTTTTTATTGTAAAATATCGTGCGAATTTTTTTAGTAACATCGACGACATATTATAAAATTATCCAATCAATTTCTTTATGAATCAACAGATAAGCCTGCTATAACAAAATCTAATGATTAAAATTTTATCAAGTAACATGGGTATGGTTTCTAAGCTAAAAAATGTTCTTCGTGACAGATTACACGTGGTGGGGATCTTAACTCAAAGTCATCCAGGTGGTGTGGGTGGGTCTTTCTATTATAAAAGCAACTCTCTGTAACCAAAAACATTTTATATAATAAAGAGATCAAAATTTATTACAGCATCAATTAATCCCTTTGAAACCTTTATTTAGTAGAATGCTAATATCACATGATCATAGAAATGACAAAATTAAACTCCATTTACGGCAAAGATTTACAATTAAAGAGATGATGGTGTTACAATTAAAAAAACTGGTTAAAAAAAATATCTAAAAAAAAAAATTTAAATAAAAAAGACTTCATTGAACACAATGATAGAAAAAAACCAATTTAATGATGATCAAATAATACTAGATCGTTTAAAGATAGGCTTGAAAAATCTTCAGAAAATACCGCCACACAAGATCAAATCACCATCTAACCAACCACGTAGGGCAAGCGTAGCCATAATAATTCGTATTAGGCCAACAATAATTAATTCTTTTGAAACATTTTCCAGTGACACCAATGATAACGATATCATTGAATATGAAGGAAATGGAAAAGAAGATTTATCTGTTGTAATAGAAGAGTTTTTTAATTTAACATGGGTTAGAAGGGGAACACCAGAAATTATATATATTAAAAGAAGTTTAAGGGATGGAGACAGATGGTCAGGGCAAATAGCTTTTCCTGGAGGTAAACAAGACCCAGATGATTTAGACGATTTGGATACAGCAATAAGAGAGACATCAGAAGAAATTGGAATAGATCTTGAAAATGACAAATCATTTGCATATATTGGTGCATTAGATGATAGAGAGGTAACATCAACTTTGGGAGGAAAATTATTAATGACTCTTTCATGTTTTGTATTTTTACAAATAACACATATTACACCACCTACAGAAATTTCAGGATCAGAGATATCATCTATTCATTCTATACCATTATCAATATTCTTTGATCCTATTTATACACAAAGATGGAATCCAGTATCAATAGATCTTTCCTTAGGATTATCTAAATCAAGACCAATCAAGTTCATATTATCATTTTTATTAGGCAAGGTTCATTTTAATTCAATAATTTTACCAAATAACAACAATGATGATAATAACAACAATGGTGGAGGAGAGGGTGATGACAGTTTAAGATTATGGGGATTAACATTACAGATGACAAGCGATTTGATAGATTTAATGTATAAAGAGGATGAAATACCATCGAGAAGATTGGATGCAACAAGACCAAGATTTGATTATTTAGATTTAAATATATTTGTTTGGTGGCTTTTAAAATCAAACAGGAATAAATATAAAAAAGAGCAATCAAATATAATCACTAGGAGAAGAGTATGGGCAAATGGATGGAATGATTATTACAAGTCAATACAAAAATCAATAATTGTTATAATTCTCACTAGATCGATGATTGGTTTATGGTTTATAAAAAAAATTATCTCATTATGGAAAAAAAAAAACAATACTTTGAAAATTTAATTTTTTAATTTATATATATAAAATTGTATTTTTATTTAATATAGAATATTTATTGAAAATTAAAGTCATAGTATCACAGAAAGGTATAAAACATAATCTATGCTTAATGGCTTAATTTGTATCAAAAAACATTATATGCAATAAAAATGTTTGTTGGGAAAGCTAGCTCTATTGGTGCCTCAAAATCAACACAGTAATTGGTAGCGTCCGTGATGAGCGAAATATAAAATATCAAAAGTCTGTATATCCTTGCTACTCGAGAAAACAATAAAATAAAGATGATTATTATTACAGTCGTTCTTTTATTAAATAATGATCCAGGCTAATTTTATTACATATTGATATAATAGAGAATTGATTTTTTTAAAAGTAAAGAATTTGATTATTTGTAATAAACAGACTTGAAAATGGATCACATGTTCATGCGAAAGGTTAAAACTAAAACAATTTAACCTCTGCATATGTTGTACGTGAATTTGGAATCTGCGTCAATTCACGCGCGTGAAATTCAAATTAGCCAATCAGAATTTGTATTCAAAACACCCCAAAATTTAATAAATTTCCCACATGAATGACTGTGAAATGTCTTAAACTCTATTTATATAAAAAAATCTTTGACAAATTTACGTCATTATGCTAGTATAACGGGATAAATAGTGAGTGTCATCATAACAGGTGTAAATTAACAAGATTGTCATTATAACGAATGTCATTATAACGGGGATGACTTGCACTAGGATTAAAAGCCAAGATATTAGTATTAGTTAGTATCATTGGGAGTGTGTGCACAATATTGCATTATAATCGTAAACATTCTTCAAGAGGTTGTGAAATTAACGAACCAAATCAGGTGAGTCACAACTCGTACTGCGCTAATGAGACATGTACCAGTTAATATTAAGAATTGAGATCATCTATATATCAACAGGAAAAAAGCATACGTGGGTGGGCGAAGGATATACAGCCAATGCGTATATCTTATCATACCCATTTCTTTAGCGGTTTGGATTATATTTTTCATTTGCGCAAAGCAGATAAAAGGACTAACCGGAAATTTTATTTTGAAAATTTTGGCTAGTTCAAATTCACATGAAGATGAATAACTTTTTGTATTGATGTCCATATTTGATACTAATACTAATTTGTCGTATGAGAAAATATGCTTTTTTAGTGTTAAGATCTTCAGAGCGCATGTTTTTTTTTTTCCCAAAATCATTTGTAAAATTTCAGATTTCTAAATATATGCAAAAACGAAATTTTTTAGTCGCTTTAATTTCTATAATTTTTTTCTTTTCTGTGAAATATTTGAAATCAAATATGTCGGAAAATTCCAACAAGACATCTTATGAGGCTTTAAAAAATATCACCGTTAAAGATCTTAAGGATGATAAATCTTTCGAAGCAAATAAAATTTGGGAAAATAATCCGGCTTTGATATTCGTTGGCAAGTGGAATTAATCAATTTTTTCCACAAAAAAAAAAGGCACATTTTTTTTTATTAACTTTCTGGTTATAATTTATTAGTTCGTAGACCTGGTTGTCAATTATGTCGTGAAGAGTCATCAAAACTGGTGTCATTTAAAAACTTAATTTCAGATAAAATGGTGATTTAAAAATCATTTAATTGTACAAGAAAACTGTTGCATATATTAAATATTTAAAACTATATATATATCTATTGATTGATTAATCTTTAGGGCTTAAGAATGGTAGCAATTGTTCATGAAAATTTAGATAATGAAGTCGAAGAATTTAATAATGGGTTTTGGAAAGGAGAAGTATATTTAGACGAAAAAAAGGCCTTTTATACTGCACTTGGGTAATAATTAATTTAATTTAAAAATGTTGGCTAGCAGAATTAAATGGTTGTTTTTAATAATAAAATAATTTGGAATGATTTTAGTGGTGGAGAGATAAGATATGGTGGATACATGAGCATATTTAAACCTTCTGTTTGGATGAATATCGGAAGAAATTGGAAAACAGTAAGTTTAACACAGAAATAGGCCAATCCTTCAAGATTCGTTAATTAAAAAACATCTTTATTATTATAACACATGATTAATATTCAGGGCGTACAAGGCAATTACAAAGGAGAGGGTAGAATTTTAGGAGGGTTATATATTTTAAAACCTGGCACAGCGGGAGTTCATTATCAACACAATGAAAAGGTGTGGGGGGATGTTGCACCATTAGATCAAGTTTTAACCGCTTGTTTAGAAGTCTCGCCTAAAAAAGATGATAAATCTATTCAAGAAGAAGTGTCAAGTATCATTGATAAATTTAAGAAAGGAGAATTAGTTATTAATGATAAATTATTGAGTAATGATCCACCAGCAACTTGTAATTCAATAGAAGCTTGCACATAGTTGATATTCTTCACTTAATAAAAAAAATTTTATTTTTTTGTACCATATAAAATGTTTAAATAATGAAAAACTAATTAATTATTAAGATTAGTATTCAAGTATTCAACAAATAATTGAGCAACTCTATCCATGTCCAAAAGTGTATGCATCTTATTAATATTTGTAAATTGTTTTTTAAGTCTTCTTAGTTCTGATAATGTTACTGTGTGTGATGGAAGATTAATGTATTTAAGCAATATAAATATTGATGTCAAGAATTTATTAATTTTAAAATTAAATTGAAAAAATTATTGTTTTGTTAGTTTAGTTTTAGTTTAATGAAAGGATATTATTTGATTTGCACAAGTTATTTTTATGTTTGTATTAATTCCTATAACATCATTTTTTTGTGCTTTTAATATTTCATTAATTATTTCTTGTGTGGTTTTTTCTAGTTCATATAAATAATTGGTTTCACTAATTGGTTTCTTTATTAAAAATTTTTTTTTAATATTATTAATAATTGCAATGATTGTAATCGTTGTATTTTATAATGTATTTTTAATATTATTACCACGATTGTTGATAAATTGGGCGGTTTTGGTTTTTTTAATATCAAAGAATTCCATAATTCATCAAATGGTAAATTTGTATCATCAAATAATATGGTAAACAGTGGAGAATCCCAACGATTACGATCATCTGGCTCTTCAAATCTACTAACAAGTTCTTCAAATCTAAAGGAAAAGAGAAAACCAATTTTAACTGATAGAAATGAATCTAATTAAAATTTTTTTTTGTTTAAAGAAAAAGAAAAATTTTTTTTTCTTTTCTAACAATGTTGAATTGTATCCATTTTCTCTATTTGAATTCCATTTTCTCGCCAATTCTACAGGTGTTCCACAATGCACTACACAGTGAGGTGTACCAACAGCACGGGAAACACAATACAGTTGATAACGAAACCCTTTAATATAATTCATCCCATCAACAATTACCAAATCATCTTTTGAAACCAATCTTTCAACAGCTGATAATAATGTACCACGAGCCTTTTTTTCTTCTACTCTAGTATCTTTTTATTAGAAATTAGATTGATGTACATAAACTATTTATTGGTTATACACATAATGACAATTTATCTACATAGTTAACATTACCTTGATAACTATCTTTAGCAATTCCCAAATTCTCATCATTAATTAAGTTTACATTTATTGATTTTTCTTCAGCTTTAAATTTATCAATAAAATAATTTTTAATTTGATTTGATCTTATTGTTTTGCCACTTGAAGGTATGCCACAGATAATTATCAATGGCATTTTTTATTAAAAAAATACGATTTATCTTTTGGTAATTTTATGAATAAAAAATAAAAAATTTCATTGGCAGAATTCTTTTGAATTCCAGTGTAACATTGTATTCCAGTGAAAAAGACTGGAACAGATCACAACAACACTGGTTTTGTTTACATATATAATTGTATAAAAGAGCAGCAGTTTTATTTCAGGAATTATGTTGTCAAAATATGGATAACCTTGTTGCTGGGAGGATGGGGTAAAATATAAAAATAATGGCAAATCAATGTAGCAAATCAATGCAGGAATAACCATTTACCATTAGAGATCTGTTGCTTTAACTATTATTATTATTATTATTATTATTTGATCTTTATATATTTTAGGAAGTGAATCTACATATATTTATGGTTACAGTGATCCCGTTTATAATAAAAATGAGTTGTGAAGAAGCAACTGAATTTGTGAGAAATGGTCAATTGGAATTTCATTGACTATTAATAGGAAATAAATAAACAACCATAAACATTAAATAATTGGAAAAAATTTTTTTATGAAGTTAATTATTTTTCAATATTAATATAACTTTTCATGGAATCAATTTTTCTAAATCTTTATTCTCTATGTTTTCTTATTCAACCCAAATACAATTTTAACAATTATTTCAACAGCGAATTGAACACCTTTAACCTCTACAAGTTGTTGAAAATGATTTGGTATTTGATCAATTATATTAAATTCATCTAATGTCTTCCCTAATAATATTTGAAATAAGTAATCATTGTATTATTTAAATAACAATCTTTAATAAATTGTTCTTGATGAGAAAGTAAACTTACATTGATGTGACATAATTGGTATTAACCTCAAGTCAGTAATTATAACACGACCTAATGGAGTTAAGTTCAAATTCCATACAAACAATAATTCAGGATAATTTTTACTGGTAATATTATATAATAAATAATAAGAAATTAAAGATTTTAAAATAATAAATCATTTTATTATTTCTCGTTTAAATGAAAACCCAAACCTTTTATCAGAAAATTTCAAAAAACTATTTATTTCTACATTTATCTCTTCTTGTTTGTTAGATTTTTGTAAATGTGGTGATGGTGATAAAGTCATCGAGTCCATTATCAATTTTGAATATTTTTGTTTTAAATATTTAAATAACTGTGTACGTTGTTGGTTTATTTTTGCATAATTGACAATTCCTTTGAATAAAACATGAATATTTCGGTTTTTCTCTACCCTATAACAATAATTTATTATTGTAATGTTAGATGATGTGTGTTTATGTGCACATGTGTATTTTTTTTTACCTTTCAAAAAAACCTCCTACTTCTCGTCTAATTGCCTCATTAATCATAATCTTAAGACTTTTGATAATTGAATCAGGCTCGCACACTTCAAATTCAACCAAAAAATAAATTCCATATGTTTTTGCATGTATTTGATTTTGAAAAACAGCATTTCCATCGCCACCTCCATCAGTTATTATTTCACTTTTAACATTGATTAATTTGATTTTATTTAGTGTTGCTAATTCTTTAATCTAAATTTTTAAAGATTTTTATTAGAAAAACAATAAATTGTTGGAATAGATTTATAAGAAAAAAAAAACCACCTTTGAAAAAACCATATCAGTAAATTTTTGTTTACGCGAATGTGATTTAAATGGCTGAGATGTGATTTAATAATTATTGACCAATAAAATTTAACATAGCGGCTATATCTGTGATTGGTCGATCCATAATAATATGCCGATCGTTAGTATTTTTGGCTTTAGCGTGAAAACTCTTGCTATAATTACAATGTAATAAAGTATGCATATGGTTTGAGGCAGCATAATACCCTAAAGGTTGGACTCGAAAAATTATTCAATCAGATATTGATCCAGAATTAATATATTATGACCATCATCATCATCATCATCATTATATTTGTATCCTAATTCTAAGCCTAGCAACATCGTCCGTCATCTTTAAATGATATAAATATTGTTAGTTCTCAAACTCATACTAAAAAAATAAATAATTTATGAGAAGAAAGTAAAAAAAAGAAGCATTTATTGGAAGTATTCCTTTTAAATGAAATATCACCAGAATAAGGTTGCTTGCTGAAATTTCTTTGTGACTACCGAAATTCTGTCAAAACTCTAATAAACAATTAGTGTGTAACTCTACCGATCGATTTCTAGAGGGGTTTCGGTAGGTAAGCATGCATCAGAAGCTCAAAATGCACAAAATAGCAAGAAACTAGCTCATTACAGCAGGGATTACTTTTTGATGTAATGCTTAGAATATGAAAACACAACAATTCAAACATTAATGAAATTTTGGGTAAAATTGATAGATAAAAGTTCCTGATGAAAAGATTGATGTATTCAAATGGTGGGATGAGCATAAAAGGGATTTTCCAATCCTTTAATAATCCCAGCAACGTCAGTTCCCAGCGAGAAGTTGTTGATAATAATAATATTGCCAATAAACACACAAACTCGAAACCAGGTGTTGTAAAAAGAATATAGAAAATGTGAATTGGTTTAACAATAATTAAATCATTTTTATGTATGTACACATAAGAAATTTCGTGTAATATTTAATTAGTTAATCGATCGATTTGACCGAGTCCAAACTATCAAAAAATGACTAATCCAAGAGAAAAAAGCACACTCATCCATAAAATAATATGATAAACATATCATTTACTCACTACCTATGATATACTATTACATAATTCTTTATCTAATGTATTAAATTTGATCATGTGTCCATAGACTAATAACATGCCACACACCATTATCATACCTTATTTTGGCTTCGAATAAATGAAATAATTCGGAAGATAGATGGCTATAGGAGACTTTTTTGCATTTGGTAAATCATACATTCACTTTGAAAACAATAAATTTAACTTGAATCATTTAACAACTGCTAAGGACCATAAAAAACAATATCGATAGAAAGTCAAGTTCTGTTTAATATTCTAGTTAGTAATTTGAATAAATAAAACATTTATTTATTTAAATGATTTTTTTGTTGTAAAAAAAGCTAGAAGGTACGTTAATCATATAACTCTTACATTATTTCATAATCCTAACAAGGTTTAAAAATGTTTGAATTAATATGAATGAATCAAAAGGATGTAATCAATTCAGACTCTTAAATTCTTACTTGTAATAATGCTTCTCAAAACCAATGTGAAACACTGGTATTGACCCTATATATATAAAGGGATGCTAGAAAAACAGGGACAGGCGAATTTTGCAAAACTTATCCAGGGACTTCAGAAAAAGCTAAAGGATCAGAGGAGAAAAAACCTGGATTAATTAAACAGGAGAAATTGTTCAAGAGTTAAATGAACAAAAATCAAAATGCTAGTCCAAACTCAACAACAGAGTGAAAGTAAAGGTGAATAAAAATAAGCCAAGTATGATTTTTGTGTTTTTTGGATTAACCATAAAGGAGGGTTTTTATTCGTGATACAAATTCTTATTCGAAATTATTCGTAATGCAGTCAATTTAAAAAATCTATCCGAATTAAAATTTATTCTAATTATTCGTTTTATTCATTTTATAAATTACTAGTTTATTCATTTTATAAAATATAGGTCTCATTTCTTTAACAAGATAATATAAGCAATAATTATATTTATAATCTATATTACTATAATTGCCAGTACTATGACTTAAGGAAAATGTCAGCTACTACTATTTATTAATATCACTATATATTCAAGGATTAAGGAATAATAGATTGATAAAGGAAAAAAATTTTAATTATTCGAATTATTAGTTTTATTCGAATAAAAATTTATTTGAGTAAACTTTCAATGTAATTTGAATATTCAAATTCATAACGAATAAACCTTTATTCTAATAGAAACCCTACCATGAAGTTGCGGAAGTAGGAAAACAAAATAAGTCACATTATATTGGTAGCACAACGGTGATTAAATTTTTATTGTTTGTTAATATTCATTAAAATTTAAATCATAATTAAAATATTCACATTTATTTTGATCAGTTTGGCCAAATAAACTATCACTTGGAGTGGAGATTGTAGATGCACACAAATATTTAATAACCAACTTTGAGAAAGCGGGAAATCTATTTTTATTATATTCCATCACAAGAATGGACCATCTTTCCATATCCAACTTGACTTCTTGGAGCTACCCTTTTCTTCAAAAAACTCATTATTGTATTATTAATTTCCCCTATTATAGTGACTGAATTCTCTTCTTCCGTTTTAAATGAATGATTAATTTAATAAACAAAACAGAAAGAATTCATTTTGAGAAAATTCATTTCAATTCAGTTGCACAAGATATTGATTCGCTGAATATTCGAAAAAAAATATTTTAATGAATATAATTCATTGAGTGCAACCTCTATTGTGACATAATTTAGGCTTTGAATAATACAAAAAAGATTAATAAGGAAATTAAAAAGGTTTGGTTCAATCAGCACCCAATCAGTGAATACTTGGTATTATTTATTTGTTTATTACCATCATAATAATAATAATGAAACGAATTCGTTATTTTAATAAATGGAACAATAAAGTTCTTTTTTAAAAAATAAAAATTTTTTTTTAAAACCGTTCCTTTATTTATTTTTTATAAAATATCTGAAGACTACCAAAGAATTAATGCCGTTGGAAAAAATTTTAAAGCCCAATTCTAAAGCTAATCAACCATCCGAACCATATAAAAGAGTAATCTTTATAGGTGTAGATGGAATTGGCAATTTTGCAGAACCACCGGCTAATTGTCCAAACATTCAAAATTTTCTTTCAACCAGTGCTCACACTTATAATGGTAGAGCCGAATTACCAACAATAAGTGCACAAAATTGGGGATCGATGTTTCATGGTGTGACTCCCGATAAACATGGTTTAACTAATGAATTAATCGAGAATGGTAGAGCATATCCAGAAGATGACAAGTATCCAAGCATATTGAAAATACTTGGCAACAATGACAAAAGCGATAAAGAATTCACGTCTGCAAGTATAGTTTCTTGGTATCCAATTAATACAGGAATATTGGAGTTATCATTGAAAACTCAACGATTTTCATTCCCTGAAGATGAACCTTGGTATACTAGATTTTGGCGTAAAATACAAAGTAAAATTTTTGCCAAATATACCGAAGATGACCCTGTATTTAAAAAATCAATTGAATTTTTACAAAGTAAAAATTATGTAGATTTCTTGTTTATTTATTTTGGCACGGTTGATTCGGTGGGCCATAGAAAAAATTATCAAAGTAAAAGGTATTACAAACAATTAGAATTGATTGATGGATATGTCGGAGGGGTCCTTGAGGCAATCAAAGAGTTTGGTTGGGATGAAGATGCTTTGATTTTGTTGACAACTGATCATGGTGGCATTAAAAACAGTCATGGTGGCGATTCAGAAGAAGAGTTAAACATAATTTGGGGTGCCAGAGGTGAAGGAATTGAGTCAGGCAAAACTCTTAAAGAGGTTTCTAATATGAGTATAGCAGCTGTTGTTTTGACTGCTTTTGGCAAAAACATTCCTGATTATTTTGATTCTAAAGTTCCTGAGGGTCTTTGGAATTAGATTATATAAATATAGATGTTTGTTTTTTTATAATTATAATCCATTTATACATAATAAATAATAATGAATTAAGCTTTTGATTGATTATCATCCCATGTCGTTTATGTGATTGTCCATTTTTACTTATACTCGTTCTGAATATAATAAAAATTGTTATTTTTCCAAAAACCCAATTTTGTTCTATTCTTTTATTTGATTATTTGCTTTAGTACTTATTAATGCTTTTAATTATAATAAAAGAAATCTCCCTGCTGCCTCAATGTCAATTGAATCCTGAAATTATAACTAAGAATCCTTGACGCGTTTAGAAGTTAGTCTCTCTCCCTCTTGATAAATAAATATATTTTTATTTTAATCGAATTCTAATTTAAATTCTATTCGAAGAAGCACATCAAAGGAGTCATCAAACAATCTATATTATTTTAATGATATATTTTTATTAATAAATTTTATTTCTGTTGGAGACAAATTTGAACAACCTTCTAAAGATACACAGTCATCAAATATGCTAATGTGGCAAAACCACAAAATACAGCAAAAAACACGAAATTATTGTTAATGATGCTATTGCTACATTATTGTGTGAATTTATTGTCGTGGTAAAGAGAGACAAAAAGGAATATAAAGCTGGATCATTGTATCATGGAATTCGCATCAACAAGTTTTATCAAGATGTGTTTAAATTCAAAGAACCTTTCAAGGCTTTGAATTTGTTTCTATATGAGATATTTTACATTTTAGAATGGTAGAATTAAAAGATTTGGATGATGGCACTCATAACGGAGCCGATCCTTTAACAGATGAGGAAATGGTTCAAATATTTGATCACCCACAAATGCCGTGATGACAATACTAATAAGATAACAATGAATTTTCAGTTGATGCTGAATTATCATCTCTTCTCATAATTCAAAAGAAAAAAAAGACCGATTCATAATGTCATGAGATTCTCAAGTCAAAATCAAAATGATTATGAGCTTTATCATGCGTATAATCTCCATTATCATCATATTTCTCTACTGTACTAATTTTGCTTATGGTAGGATTAAGAAATATTGAAAATCGGAATCTTTTCTTTTTAGCTTGTTCTTTTTGTAATACTGTCTTGATTTTTTTCACATACACTTTCTAGAAGATTTAATTCATCTTTCTCTACAGGGTTTCCCTTTGGTACTATACCTCTGTATGTTGTTATAAGATTTCGTTTCCTAATCCATTCTGAGAAAATTGATCTCCTTTGAATATATACTATTTCCAAATCGGATGGTTTTGGATCAATATTTTGTTATCTACTGCTTGATTCTGCAGGAGACTCTGGAATTATTTCCTTCTCCTTATCTTTCCTTGAAGGAATAGATTTTTTGATAATATCAATGGGCCTTTTAATACTCCCCCCAAACCAAGGCGTGTTAGTTGTCCAATAAATATTCTCCCACTATGCTTGTTACGAATTTCTTCTATGATAGGGGATTTGATTTCTGGTTGAGCTGGTGCTTGCTCTGGAACTATATTGCCAACACCCACTGAGCTTTTCTCGGATTCCACTGATGATAGAACCAATGCGTGCGAATATACCAGACATTTTTTTTTAAAAATATATTTATAAAATTTTACGTCTAAATTAGAAATTTGGTACAAGATTCAAAATATGGTCTCTATAAAAAAAAGATAAATTTATTTTTCGAAAATAATTAATAGCCTTGATGATTATGGAATGAAGTACAATAAATAATACATTAATCCTTAAGAAGCTTTCAAATCTTTCTATTTCATCTTGTAATTGATTTTGAATCATTATTAATCAATATAAGTAATAAAACCGAAAATAAATCCCGTACAAAATCCGTGCACATAATTTTTTAAAACCACGGAATATGTACGGAATGTGCACGGGTTTTCAAATCCCGTACAAAACCCGTGCACATTCCGTATTAGTATCATCTAATTTTTTAAAACACGGAATGTGTATGGAATGTGAACGGAAATTCCGTGCGTTATTTTTCATAGTAATAGGGTGTCGGTATAATGACTGTCGGTGGATCGGGGTAAAACCAAATAAAAAACATTACAAGTCATCAAAAAGATTTTTTCATCACAAAAAAAAGATGGCAAAATAATAACAAGCTCACAACTGAGAACGCAATGCGAGCCTTTTGCTTTTCGTGTTACGCGAGAACAAAAATTTATTTATTAAGTTGGGTTTGGGATTGCATCTTCTTTATCGCAAAGAGCAAGAAAACGACATCACTCGGGCCGACAGTAGTCTATTTTATTAAATCCATAACATACAAGTAGGACAGCCGTTTTTTTGAAACTTGAGTATTTTCGTGAAACAAATCGGATCTTAATCTTTATTGTCATCCTCAAAAAATGATGATTCATTATTGTTTGCTATAACAATAATGCTTCTCATAATTGATGGATTTCATATATTACAAATGTAACCAATCAGAATTTTATCTCTTTTTTTTCCTTCTAAATAAAATAAACACTAAAAATGAGAGGTCATGTCACGAATGGTCAATACACCCCCAGCAAGAGTTCCATTTTCTCACTCGCTGGACTTTAATAACACATTTAAGCGAATCACATGGGCTCGCCATTGCATGTCTTATCCCGAGACAAGTATTAGTAATGGAAAAATAAGCCTTATATTTCAAGTTATGCATGGGATATATACAGTTTACAACATTCCATTGGACAAATTCTATTCTATTGAATTATTTTGAATTTTTATTTTTTTTAGATTATGTAGGATTACACAATAAAAATATGGAACGTTTGTCAATTATTCAATAGTTTGTATAGACGTAACAATCAAAGTAAGTGTTAAATACAAGATCAAGAAATTTGCAAATCAAGTTTTGCAAATAAACGTTTTATCAATTATTCAATATTTTGTATAGGAGTGATTGAAATAAGTGTTAAAGGCAAGATCTGCGAAGTTGTTTGCAAAATATATTTAATGAATGTTTATCAATTATTCAAATATAGGCAAGTTTGATCAAAATAAGTGCTAAAGTCAAGATCTATTTGCAAATCAAGTTTTCCAAAATGGACGTTTTATTATTCAATAATTATATAGGCGGGTTTGATCGAAGTAAGTGTTAAAGTCAAGGTCTACGAAGCTGTTTGTAAAATATATTTAATGAACGCTTTATCAATTACTAATCATATAGGCGGGTTTGATCAAAGTAAGTGTTAGACAAAATCTATGAAACTTGAAAAATGAATGTTTATCAATTATTCAATGATTATATAGGCGGGTTTGATCAAAGTAAGTGTTAAAGTCAAGGTCTAATGAAACTTGCAAATTGAGTTTGCAAAATGAACGTTTTATCAATTATTCAATAATTATATGTGCGGGTTTGATCAAAACAAGCGTTAAAGTCAAGATTTACAAAGCTTCCAATCCAGCTTTGCAAAATGAATGTATAAGACGTGATCAAAGCATTTTTAGTAATAAACAAATAATCAATTCAATTGTCGATTGAATTAAACACACAACGCTCGCTTTATTTTTGGTAATAACAAAAAAAAAAAGTACAAAATTTAGCATTAAAAAAAATTTTTCGAAAATTTTCTTTTAACTAGGCTACAGCATTGAATTATTCATTCTTTCCATATCAAAATACAATGCTCAATCTTTAAAAAAACTTTACAAGAATTTGATAATAATTTAATAAACAATAGTAAAAAAATTATATATTTAAATAGGAAAAATAGTAAGTTTTTATACAATTAATAATTAAATAATTAAATAATTAAAAAAATAATTAATTTATCACAACAATCAATAAATTTTAATCTATTAATAATATTTTTTTTTGTTTCCAGGAGGTGAGGGATTTATAAAACCGTTGTCAGTCGGTTTCATTTTTTTTTGCATTTAAATATCTAAACTTTTTGCTGTACACATTTAAGTGCAGTTTCAGAGCTTTTATAGCTTCTATATTAGTGATCATTGGTTATTGCTTGCTGGATCTTTTTTTTTTTTTTGTAATTAGGATGGCGAGTTCATTGACCATTTTCATTATGTCGTCGTTTGCTCTTTTAAGTATTGATTATATCATCTTTCGGGGGTGATATTTTTCCAGACTTTACGGTATATCTATTGTGAATAAGTCAATTACTATGCCAAATCCATATTTTTTTTTATCAAATACGGGGACTTTTATTTTGGTCCCTATATATAATAAATAATATAATTACAAAAATTAATTGCGAATAATAAGACGGGTAGTCGAATGCAAACACTGCTAACACTAATTTACCTGTATAAAGAATGCCAAGGCGTGGTATTTTTCGTAATCTCTTTATCCATGATATCAAATTTTTGTTGTATAATTTCGGAAGCCCCTTTTATACTTCTTGAGAGAAAACGAATTAGTTTTCTTCTATTATATTTAGTCTAAAGACTAGTGCCGTAATCCAAAAAAGGGAAAAGAATGGTTGCAAAAGTGGTCGCAAAGGTAATTGCAACCACTTTTTATATGCCGTAAATACAATTACTACCATCATCATAATTTACGGCACTAGTCTTTAATTCAGTCCTTAGTTTGGTTGCCTCAAAAGGAGGACCTGCAATTTCCCCATATATGTACTCTAATTTCAAGTTTTTCTCATGTTTTGATCGCAAAATCTGCACATCTTGGGGTAAGCTCATAATGCTTTTGATGCTGTATTTTTTCCGATTCAGAACGAAGAGAAAACCACACATCATAAGAATGGCATTCAATGAAATTGCCTTCTATGGCTGATTTTTGGTTCCTAAACAATTAATAAATTTCTTGAATTCTATATGTAACTGTGAGCATGACAATTATTTAAAAATCTCCTACCAATCAATGGAAATACTCAGTTTTTCTCTTTGTATTACGATTTCAATTTCTTATCATAACTAAGGTTTCCGGTCCAAACCGTTTTCTCAAAGCCCAAACTAATTTGGCCAATTTGGGCTTCTCTGCATTTTTTATAAACATTAACATTAACCCAATTTTGGCTAATAACAAAAAATAGTTTGGGCTTATAAAAAAGTAACTTTTGCCCAAATTGTTTCAGCAATTTCGGCTACTAATAAAGAGAGTTTCGACCAGAAACCTTAATCATAACGACCGATTTTCCATGTTTTTTCCCTAAAGTATTTCTTTCCTTTAGTAAAGATCTTAAAACTTTCAGTATTTTGATTTGATAATCAATTTAGAAAACTTACAAGAGACAGTAGACATCATCGATAAAATCATGTTCTTCTGTTGATTTTTTACTTTTTTTATCAAAGAAAGGGTTATCACCCTTGCTTCTTTCAAAAACATACTGTGTCAACTATTTTCATCAAAATTTTACCATTTTTTAAGTATATTGTATTCTTGAATATTGTTAAGCTCATCATTCGAATATATTTTAAATAAATCTTGATGAGGTTGATCAAGATCTAACACCATGGCTAAAGACTGGTGCCGTAAATTATGATGATGATAGTAATTGTATTTACGGCATATAAAAAGTGGTTGCAATTACCTTTGCGACCACTTTTGCAACCATACTTTTTCCTTTTTTCGATTACAGCACTAGTCTTTAACTATGGCTAAGAATGGGCATATTTCTCCAGATCGTCATCGCATATAAACTTGGCATACTTCTTTATCAATAAAGGTGATGATTTGTCACCCTAGAAAAGAATGATTTAAAACACGTATGCTCCTATAATATTGCTTTGAAATTTTCCTTTAAAGATTTACCTTTATTTCTTCATACCGTCTCTTTATAAGGTTGAGATTTTTTATTGAGATGTCTTATAATCTTCTGCGGAACCACTCTTGATGCATTTGCTGGGACTAGAACATGAGGATGATGATGTAGATGAGGATGCAATTACGGAAGCTTAGGAGATCTAACCAAAAAATTTCCGAATGTGATAAAAATTGTGGTGAAAACAATATTAGTTAACCAGAGTAGCGGCAGTTGCACACAACCAAAAAAATATTTTTGTATTGTAAACTAGAGCAATTAGTGGAGGTGATCGTAACTACCATAGTTCTTTTAATAAGCACTTACTCTATTGCTAATTTTTTTTCGTGAACATCTTTTTTCCTTCTGTTTATATCTTTCTTCGGGGGCATTTTTTTATTAAAATTTAAGTTGTTATCTGATCGGCACAACTAATTAATTATTATTATATATACACGTGTATGGTTGGACAAAGATTGTTATTACATATGTAAACAAAGATTATCGTTGTGAGGTGAGCCACCGCCACTGCAGTTATCATCATCATTTGCGTTCTTTTTTATTATTGTCATTGTTTAGATGGTGAAATTTTCTCGACACAAGAATTTAACAATAGAAATCCGCAAAAATGATAGCATTTTTGATGAAAAAGGCACACCCGAAAAGGTGCAAATAGCAAAAGAAATATTTAAAGTGAATAGATTAAAGCGAATTCTTTCCATTATATTTTAACGTAAAGAGTAAAGGATGAGGAAGGAGGAAAGGGGGAGGAGAAGAATGGGGGGAGAAAGAGGAGGAGAGAGGGAATTAGTAATAGTATGGAAGAACAAAAGAGCAAAGTTTTTTTAATTTTTTGTGATAAAAATTTTTATGAATATTTTTTTTTTTTTTGAAAAAGAATTTTTAAAAATTTTTTTTACTTATTTATTTATACAAATAGGATTTATAATCTCATAAATATATGGGGCATGCTGTAACAAAACCAGACAAAGTGAACATTGGTATTACCAAGGATTTCAGGGATCAAAATTTAGTCATTTGTAATGTATATAGAACTATCCCTATACAAAAATAGTTAATATATATAGCACCATTAGAAGTATTTTGAAGAAAGAACAAAGTGAGAAAATCGCTCCTTATATTTCAAAATAAATGATACTCAGGCACTTGAAGCTTATCTAAGAAAAGAAAGAATTACCTATGAAATTTACCAAGAAGAAAGAAAAATCATAAATGTTAGAAAAAGAAAACAAAATGAAAGTGTGCTATTACCTAACAAAAAGCAGAAACCCTTAGAAGGAAAATAATTTTATTATTACAGTTTTTTTACTGACTATTACTACAAAGAAAATCTTCCTTTATGCAAACATAATTAATCTTCATATTGCTTATCAATAAAAAAACACTGTTTGAGTTTTGAACAAATTCTACCACATTAAAGAATATGTTTTATAAGCCTTTGTTTTTCTCTCATTGGCATTAAAACAAGGTAAATAATCCCACCTTGTATTGGAACATTATAAAAACATCACCAATTCACTTAATTTTCACATAAAAAAATTCAAATAATAAATCTTTCAAATAATCATTATTAAACAATTTTATTTTGGTTTAAAAAAAAACAAATAATCAATAAATATTTACACAATTTTCATCCATAATAACATTTTAAAAAAAATGCTTACATTCAATAACAAACTTTTTTTGTGGATTGTTAATTGGACTCCTTGGTTTCTTGATTCACCATAAAGCCTACCATACTATAAATCAAAAAATTGATCAAATAATCAATAAAATAGAACCAAGAAGGAAACAATTTAAAATAAAACAAACCAACTTACTAGTGATAAACAATATTCAAATAGAAAATATATGGAAGGATTTCAAACAATTATTTGACAAAAATACTGGGTTGAATCCTGATTTTCATTTAATGAAATGGTCATTGAATTCCCCAATTACTAGGAGATGGAAAAGGTGTTGCTGCTTCCAAAATAAAAAACTTCTATCAACAAAAAACAAATCCTAAAAGAAAAATGATAGAAGCAATTCAAGAATGAGTCAAAAAGGAAAAGAAGAAAGAGGCAGAGAGTGGAGATTATGAAGATAATGAAAATGAAGAAAATAAAAATATTAATAATAACATTATTGATAATAGTAATAATAGCAATAGTAATAATTAAGGATGTTAGCCAAAATGGGTTTTGAAAAAATCAATTTCGGCAAGCAATTTCGGTTTTACAATAAAATATTCTTTATATCAATAGACATAAAAAATTACTCAGAATTTTGGCTATGAGTTAAGGTGTTCAAATAATCTCAGATATAATTTTGACAACTAATGAAGTTGATTTTGGTTATACATGAAGTCGAAACTATTTTGACCATTTGCAGATCTGGTCGAAATAGGGTCAAAATAAGGTTGAAACTGATTTTTACTATGTAGTTGCCTCAAGTCAAAACATTTCGACTTTGGGGTTTTAATTTCGACTTCATGTATAATTTTGGTAATTATTTCAGCATTTCGGATTTGGCAATGATCATTTATTAAGAGAGGCAATTTTGGCTGACATGCTTAGTAATAATGAAAGTTGAATTTTTGTCAGTGCCCAAATAATAGGTAATACTTACAAATGGCTTTGGGTCCAAGTATTTTCCTCATATTCTTCTTTTATTGGCCATTGTTGTTTTTCAATTTTCTTTTTTTTAACTTACAAATAATATTATTCATTTTTTTTAGTTTATTATATTGTAATATTAATCTGTTAGGTTTATGTTCTTCTTGAGGGTATATAGTTTTTGTTGGGATGTATTGTTTAGCTGATCTAATTATTGTATTCCTGATTTTTTTCCCAAAGATCATTTATTGTTTTTTTGTTAATGTTTTTTGTTTTTTTGAATTCATCTAACTTAAGTTCTTTATATATTTCATTTGTTTTTATTGCAAAATTTTTCCATTTTATTTCATTCATTGCTGAGTAGATGAAAATGCTTTTTTTCAATTTTTTTCTTTTCACATCTGCTTATTTGACATTTTTAAATAAGTTATCTACTAAGAAATGAGAGAGCACATTCTGTGATCACTTTTAAATAATATTGGTTTATAAATCATACTGTATAAAAAATCATATAATAAATTTTTTGAGATCCAAATTAAATCTATTCTACTTTGATTATTATTATTTTTCCATGTATATTGTATTTCTTCATTAGCTTGTTTGTATACATCTATCATGCACATTTGCTGTAATTGTTTTATTAATTCATATTTTTTGGAATGCTATTATTATTAATTTCTAATTGTTGTAGTTTTTCTGGGTCAGCATTAAGGTTTCTGGTCGAAACTGCTTCTATTAGTAGCCAAAATTGCCCACTTTGGGCAAAAATTATTTTTTAATAAGCCCAAACTACTTTATTATCTTTATCACAGTTCCACCAAGCAATATAGTTTTTATCATTGTTTTTTATTATGTTATTTGCTTCTTTGTTTGTTAATTTAGTTTCTGTTAAACCTATTAAATCTATTTTTTTTTTCTATTTCTAATAACAGTTGTTGTTGTTTCACCTTGTCTGATAAACCTTGTATGTTTTGTGTTGCCAATATTATTGTTTCATTTCTGTAAATAATTGTTGGTTTTCTTTTTGTTCTATATTTGTAAAAAACTTATTGTTATTGTTTGTGTTTTCATTATTACCATTATTTATATTTGTTTACATCCATTTAATGTGAGTTATTATTAATGCTATTACTCATATTCAGGAAGCTGAGTTATTGTTGCCACATTGTTATTTTGTTTTTCTGAATTGAGATTGGTACTGAAGTTGCTTATTTGGTTAACTATGAAATCCAATTTGTTTTCCAATATTATTAGTACAACCTTGTCTTCTTATAGAATTCTAGTTTTTTTTTAATAAATTGATAGTTATTAAGATTAACTTAAGGCTGTTCATTTAGTTTTCCCTAATTTAACAATAACATATAGCAGAGGACAAGAATTTGTAACTTTACTTATAGAATTCATAACATATGTTGAACTTCACATTAACTTTTTAGTAAAACTTTATTAACAAAAAGTTATCAAAAGCGCACTGTTCAATAGCTTTAATCCTAGAGAGTATATATACAAAGTATAATTTTACAAGAAGTTTTACCTTAAAACCGTGGTCTTGTGATTTGTTATATATCATGTGTAGTGTGTAACCAAACTACCCCTATAATATTACACAAGTTGTTTTTTTTTATTAAACATCTCATTTAAAAAAATACAAAAAAACGAATCAAGAAAATGATCGAGACAAAAGAAGCAAGAATGGTGGTTAACACCACTTGTATTCATCGTTTACGGGGAAGGAAAGAAGAGAAAATTGGTAAGTAATGAGATTCCCTTTGGGTTAGCAAGCTAGTGTAAGATAAAGAATAAAACAATGGTATATTCTTTCTCAATTTATGTATTTCACTTTATTAATTTTATAGAACGATGATGATGATGCTAATACTAATGCTGATGTTGATGATGGTGGATCTGATGAAACCGAGGAGGGCGATGATGTTAATACTAGTGATGTTGATGTTGATGATGGTGGATCTGATAAAACCGAGGAGTTGGGATCGTTGCTGATGTTGATGACGATGTAACTGATGAAACGGAGGAGACCGAGATTGATGATGGTGATGCTGATGATGATGAAACTGATGATGAAGAGGTACCTTTTTTATAAGCTTTTCTGTTTTTTTTTTTTAGAAATCTAAATTCAGGTATTTTTCATATTGCTTACACTAAAATTATAATAGCCGAGGAGAGAAAGGGAGTTTGAGATAAGTGAGGCGGCTTTTGGAAGAATTGTGAGGGAGGCGGCGGGACCAGGAGTGAGATTTGAAGCAGGCGCTATTAGATCTTTTCAAAGGGTACAGTTTCTTTTTTAACCAAAGAATTGATTTTTTTAAAAAAATATTAATAATCAACCTTGGCATTCAAAATAGATGGCGGAAAGAGGAGTAATCAGATTGTTTAGAGACGCGTAAGTACCAAGTTAAAAAATTAATAACTAAAATATGATTTTACTAATCATCTTTTTTTCAATTAGGAGCCGGTGTGCTTGCATATGCTGGGAAGACAGAGGTGGGAAAATTAACCTTGGCATTCAAAATAGATGGTGGAGAGGGGTGTTATAAGATTGTTTAGAGACACGTAAGTACAATACCAAGTTAAAAAATTAATAACTAAAATATGATTTCACTAATCATCTTTTTTTCAATTAGAAAAGGCGGAGGTGGGGGTTGAGGATTTAAGATTTGCCGCGGAATTTAGAGAGTCAATAAGACAGGAGATACTTTCAACTTTTTATAATTAAAATAAATTTAATTTTTTTTAGATCACTTACTTTATCAGACATTTCCCATAATTCCCAAAAAGAATTTTTTTTCCTTACCTTAGAAATTTTACAAGCATGTCAGAAACCAATGATTTGGTTTCTTTTTTTTTATATCATTAACATAATCAACACATAGAAATTAGCAATAATCATTTAATAAATAACAGACTATCCTTATCCTTGTGCTTATGCTTGCCCTTGACCTTATATTCTCCTTGTTGTTGTCCTTGAATTTTATATTTTTGCAATGATAATAAACCTATCTCTGACAATGAATTCATACTAACCTGTGCATAATTAATTTTCTTTTATTTTACATTTGTCTATTTTTTTATTTATTTTCCTTTCTTTTAGTGAGGTAGTATTTAATAAATTTTATTTGGTAAAGTTTGGAAAACATACCTGACTTGAGTAGGAAGTAATAGCGTGAAGGGCACCCACCAAGAGATGTAATCAGGATATATTGCTTAGCAAGGAATTTTTTAACGATCGTGAAAGATAGTTTCGAAAGTAAAGTATAAATTATACATGAAGTCAAAATTAAAACCCCAAAGTCGAAATGTTTCGACTTGAGGCAACTACATAGTAAAAATCAGGTTCGACCTTATTTCGACCCTATTTCGACCAGATCTGCAAATGGTCGAAATAGTTTCGAATTCATGTATAGTATAAATATACATTCGCGGAAATTGTTCTTACGATTTAGCATAAAGAAATTGTATTATTGTATTAACATTATTAACATTTAAATAAATTATTACCATCGAGACTCAGAAATGATCTCACAATAATATTGTCTTTTATTTTTATAAATAAATAGCAATATACTTTATAAATTTGATGACCTTTACCAGCGAAATAACAATTGGGAAAGAGATGATACTTGGATCGCTCAAAAAACCATGAATCATTCTTATATTGGTATTAATGGATCCATCAATAATATTAATATAATCTAAGAAAAAGCGATACCTATTTTTCTCCCAACTGTTTCAAAAGGTTTAGGGTCACAACATTGACTATCTTTATTTTAAACTAACATGAAATCATAGCCAATAGTGATAGTAATAGTAACTTTTTTTTTTTTTACGAATTAAAATTATCAATACTTCTTACATTTCATAAAAATGAAAAATATAAACGCAATTGAATCATCTTTAGTGCCTGAGTTCGAAACGCACATGTGCAGTTCAATATTGATACGTAAAGCAACTTTTACATACACACAAGTTGTGTTAACTTGAGATTTTAAGGCTAACTACGCTTAATATTAATATTAATAATAAAATAAACGCGCTTACGTTGTTTATTTGAAATGCACATATTATACTGGTATACACAATACATAAGGCAGGTTTAGATACAGGTTTTTGCAAGTTTTAATTTATTCTCAATATTAAAAAAATTTCTCTTTTCTTATGTTAAAATAAATAGTTTACTCTTGGGAGCTGTGGATTTCACGTAAAACGCATATATGAATTTTATAAAAAAAAAAATAGAATTGCAACATTATAAAAAAAAAATGTAATGGTAATTCTCAACTATATATTTTTATGAATAAACTAGAGTAACGACGACGAGTGATGACAACCACCATTCTTTTAATAAACTCTCAACTAGCAATCTTAGAAACGAATTCTTTTCTTCTTTGTTTGATTGAAAAAGACATGACTGAAAAAAAGAAGAAATTGTTATTTCAGACAAAAGTTGTCTGATTGGCTATTTTGCTGATCGAATTCATATTATCTATATAGTTTAAAGTTGTTATGATTCCATTATAACAGTTTAAACAAATTGTACAAAGTTAATTTTTTTTTTTAAAAAAAAATTTTAAATTGTGTCAAAATAAAATTTTTTGATCCCTAGTTGAACATAATTTGGAAAAGTTTTGTTAGTTTGACCTTTGAAAACAACATGTTCAGTTACAGTAATCGCACATAGTCCTGTAATACTACTAGTAAATGGCATTTTTGTCTTCTAAGTAAAGTATGTCGGGAGTATGTTTTTTTTTTTTTTTTATTCTTTTACACAGTGAATGTCAGTATTATTTTAAATGCTATTTTTTATTTTTTTTATTAGTGAAATGTTGCATTATAAAAATCTTAAAAGTAGAAGTGCAATCGAATTACAGCAACATGCATTAGAACAGTCCCATCATAATGAGCCGGAAATTATATAAAAACATCTAGTAGAGATAATAATAATTTAACTTTTTCACAAGTAGTAGGGGTAGTCACGGATATTCTCAATTTAATTATGATGATTTTAGGGAAACTTTGACATGAAAACTGCATCTAGATTGTTTTACTGATATCTATACTCGTATTAATAATCATAGGAAAATTCAATTTTTAATTCCACCACAGATTTCTACGAGATGCCCATTAAAGAGGAGTAAGAAGGAGTGCTAATACAGGAAACAGTATTCCTATTCCAGCAATGAAAATGAAGGAATCATGGCTTTGTCATCTACCTTTAGGGTATAGCTCTTCGCATAAGCCTAGTTTGTGTGGTTGTGTTTCTTCTAATTGTTTATTACTAAAACTATAATCACTGAAGAAACAGGATGGGTATTGTCATGTGGCCATGCATATTATAACACATGTTTTAACCAAGATGGGTCCAAGTGCTTACATTGCTTAGATTATTTTATTAAGGGCGGTGTTGATAAACATGTTCAATCACTTCTAGAAGTTTACATCAAATTAATTTGAATAGTAATGCTAAAGGTGAAGATCCCAATTCTATTCTTGAAGGTAATAATGATGACATTAAAGAATCTGCAGATGACATTTAGCCCCATGAGATGGTACAATATGGTGATTTCTTCGGCTATAATTTTTTTATTTGATTACTATTATAAGAGTTTTTGTTGATTGGAATATAACATTTATTGTATTTTATTTTATGTCTAAAAACAATCTAATAAATAAAGAAACTCAAATTATTTTTAATTATTTTGCTACTGCATAATAATAAGATAGTTGTTACTCAACTAATAAGATTGAAAATAATGGCAGTATTTATTTTAATATCATCCAGTAAAATTGAACCAATTAAATTACAAAGATTAAGAAATAACAGAAAATTAGCCAATCATACAAACTTCTGCCTATGAATTATTATTTGATTGACGCGTACTATGGATGGGTGTCTAAACTAAATTATTTAGACAATGCCTAAAATATAAAATAATTTATACATTTAGACAATCATGGTCTCAATTGTCTAAAATGCTGAAATTGAATTTTTTATTGGATAATTTACTGAACTT